TCATATATTAGATGAATTTCAGTGTATTTGACCACATTACTGCAGTTGTTTAATATGCAGCTTTTGAATAACGAACCCGGTGCTGGCTTGTTTTTCGTTATTCGAACAACGAATAACGAATAACCAGATCTGTGACTCATATTGTTGTATCAAGATTATTTAATGACTTTGTGTCTAAATACAATTATTTACTGACTGATTTTTTTCAGTGAGGAGGAAGTATTATGTATGACAAAATGTAAATGGCTTTATTGAATTAAATGAGTTATTTAAATAGATTTCAGGACAATAACTGATACACAAGATTTTGCAAATATTATGATGTATGAATAGTGGATAAATATTTGTGTGAAAACAATGTGAAGTGTCATATGATTTCATTTCTGCTATTCCTATATTTCTTAAGTGCTAAAGAGAACTAGACTATTCTCTGAAAACTTTATAATTTTTGCAGAAAAATCACAACGAAAATGGAAAAAGGGCCCCATAATTTTGGATGTTGAGATTTAGATTTCTAGACATGCTTTATTTCGAGGTATAGCATCACAGGTTCAGTCATGGTGGAGGCAAATGATGTAATTCAGGGACTGTGAGACAGAATAATAAATAGCAAGTAGATGAACAGTGACATGTAGGCTGTCACAAAGTCCTTAAATCACATTATATTTCTTACAAAAGACTTAACTAACTTGTAATAGCCGAAATGAAGCAAGTTTAAATTTCTTTCTGATTTATAAAAATTCTGTAATATAGGGTCCTTCGTAATAGTTTTTTATGAAGGAATTTTTATACTTTGCAGTGTCTTGGCATCAGTTCAAAGCTAAATATGTTATCCATATATTATAATATACATGTTGTACAATATTACAAAAATAAACTATGTCCATAATAATATGACTGTGGATGTTCTTTTTTAATGTTTTATTTTCACGTTTTGTCTCTGCCAGTACAGCAATAGTGCTCCAAGAGTCAGCCCCATGGTCCAACTAGTTGAATTAAAAATAGATGTCTCTGACTGAACAGTAACCTGATACAAAAACTGCTGCACCCTGACACTGTTAGGTAGGGGGTAGAAGGGATGGAGGGGTTAGCACATGTGTGGTCATGGCCGGCTTCTGTTGAGGGAGTGAGGGTAATTTGTTAATGACTGGTGACAGGGAACATGTAAACAAAAGAGAGATATGGCAAGGATTGGGATTTCGGTTTTACGGGTTTGTTCCCTGGTATTGCCGCAGTTGAAGAGGTGGCCGTGGTGGTTCTTTCACGTAAGTGACGTGACAGTATGAATCTGGCCTGTGTTGTCGAAGTGATACGTGGTCGACCGGATCTGGGTGGGCCACGTGTTGTCTTGTGTGTCTGATAACATTTCCACAGTCTTGTAATGGTGCTTGGTGCTACGTGGAAAAACCTGACTACGGCCAAAGACGATTCTCCTGTTTGCAGTCGGCTGATGGCGTTGTTGCTCCGTCAGTTTTGGTATGTTTTTGCTGTTCACTTGCTGAAAGATTGTGATGGTATTTCAACCCACAGATTTTAGAGCCTAACAAGTGATATTGCACGTGCATGTTAGTGTGTTTCGGTGCCAGGCTCTCATTTGGTTGATTTTTCCATCAAATTCATTTTTGGTATAATTAATTTTGTATGGATGTCGACAACAATGTCAGACATTTACGATTTTACTACTTTTGCGTTTCTTTTTGTACAGAGTATATACTCATGATGATAATAACCACAACAGCAACGCACAAGCATGTGAAGAGAGGACGGTGATGTTTATATGTGCGTATGCAAAACAAATAGCGTTCTGTTAATGGAGACCTGGCGGGGTAGCACAGTGGTTAAAGCGTTCGCTCGGTCACGCCGAAGACCCGGGTTCGAATCCCCACGTGGGTACAATGTGGGAAGCCCATTTCTGGTGTCCCCCGCCGTGATATTGCTGGAATATTGCTAAAGCGGCGTAAAACCATGTTATGGAAAGTTGTAAATATGTAATATATTACTTTAAACATGTTTATGATATTCGGCAACAATCATAAGAGGGAGACACGACCTGTCCTTGACGGGTTTTCCTGCCCTAGAGCGCTTGCGCTCCTCGCATGCAGCCGCTAGGAGGCGAAGGGCAGGGTACCGGTCTAAGCACCATCCGACTTATTTCGCTGTGGTGAAACGTTGCCACATTTCTGTGGAACGGTTCTGCCTGTCGAGAAAGAACGGGACAGACCTACAGCATATCGCTATGCGGGAAACGTTGACCCAGTTTCCGTGCAGGGAGATATTAGCACTTTTGCACAGTGTGAATAATTGATGTGTCAGGCTACAGGACTAAACATATTACCATTAGGAGGTAACTCTCACAGAGAAGTATGGTTCATGGTTAAAATTAACAAACGCACTCACAACGATGTGGGTTTCAGTTTTAACAATATCTACATATCTTCACAGATTTACTTCATTATAAAATAATATTACATCAATGGAGTTATTATTTTGAAAAAAATAATTATGAAAAATATTAATAACTTTACCACTGTAGTGATGTAATTTGTCATCAGTATCATGTATACCACTATTAATACCTCTTGTTCCTTGAAAACAATAACAAATGTTACATGAAGTCATTGTTGTGAAAACATGTTACTCGTTTTGTTTTCATATTATGTTTGCTTTCTACTTTTATATATCATACACATTTAAACTGAATTGTGCCATATTCCTATTCCTGATTCTGAAGGTACCACATGCAAACTACAATTTGTTTTATCTTCTGAGTTACACGTGTGCGCTTCATGGCATTAATAGGTAGGTACGCTGCAAAAATCCTTTGCGCCGTGTTGATCGTCTGGATTTAGGGGGCACGGGTGGCCCAGTCGTCTAAGGCGCCGCGATACGCTGTGCAGAGTTGCGTCCCTTGGGCGCGCCAGAAACCTATGATTGTGGGTTCGAATCCCGGTTCGCCCCGATTATGTTTCTAGGTTTGTCAGCACCATACCCGTGCTCGTGGGTTTCACCGAAGTGGTAAACGTCTGAGACCTGCATCACTTCGGGCTTTCCTCCCACATTAAGCTGACACGTCGCGATATAACTGGAATCACTCACTCGTCTGGATTAAAGTTATCTTGTTTTTAAAGTTGTACGTTTTCTTATTTACGCAGCATTTTCTAGAATGCAAATCAAACAGTACGTAGACAGCTGTTGTATCAGTGACACCATCACTATCACTACTGTCCGTTGTGCACGGCACGATATAAAACTTTTCTGCTTTATCATTGTCAAATATCTTTTTCAGAGATGAGTCATGTTTAATGGTTTTAGTCATTGTCAAATATTGATTTGTTTGTTTATTGTTTAACGCCGCACTCAGCAATATTCCAGCTATATGACGGCGGTCTGTAAATAATCGAGTCTGGACCAGGCAATCCAGTGAATGATATCATTAGCATCGGTCAACGCAGTTGGGATACGATGACATGTATCAACCAAGTCAGCGAGCCTGACCACCCGATCCCGTTAGTCGCCTCTTACGACAAGCATAGTCGCTTTTTACCCCGGATCTTCACGGGTGGTCAAATATTGAAATAAGGTGATTCGATGGCTAAAACTACATCTATTGGCACTATATATTGAATGGATTTTTATAAGTTGTGGTATGTATGGGTTCTTAGCGTAAGTATTTTACTGAAACATTAAAATTACTGCTAATCAAAACCACGACCTGACATTATCCGTGCAGTCGATAACAACGACGGGGATGACAGGTTATGGTTGTGCTTTGTATTTTGTCAAAAGCTAGGGGCTTACACTTTTCAATTACGCGGGGGCAGATAATCCTTAATTCCTCGTCGGTTATTCCCTAGTGAATATATACGCAGTCAAAGACGGTTAATCCTTTACAATCCTCGACGGGAACTGTGTCGATTGGGTACACATGGCGCATTTGGCAAATACACATGAAGTCCACGTGCACCGAGTCACTCTCAACCGCAGTCCCCTGTTCAAGGGAAATGGATTCATCCGTTGCACACAGACCGCCTGCTGACTCGAAACGCGGTGTTCACACAAATGTTTTTCTTTGTTGAGCAGCAATTTAATACATATGTATTTCAAACTGTTTTTCAAACATGCATCCTTGATGAATACTGCTTTTACCCCACATAAACACACTTGAATTGTTATTTTGCTGTTATAGATCTATATGACGCGGGCGGATCCAATTGATAATGAATATACTGTCGAATTGAAATTTATTGACTTAAAACCGAATTAAGAGTCATGTGTCCTGAAAACACAACCAGACAAACATTAAAATGAAACTGATGATTGAAATGTACAAAGGTTTTGTAACATCTGTCATCATTTTGGAACGCCGAGTTCAGGTTGCCATAGCAACTGCGACATTGATTATACCTGTTGCTGGGCTTCTCCTTGAATGTACGCACCTGTTCGGAATAATGACTTCTGACCCTTGTAAATGGGTCATGGGCGTGACTGGTCACATGTCACATAGGCGCCTCTCAAATTAAGCTATGCAAAGGTGATAGTTCACGGTCGTTCACAGAATGGAGTTGCACGAGTGGAGCAACGCGATCGCGCGGTAGGGGATTCCCCTCAGATTAGCAAACACTGGAAAAACCCAGACTCTCAACGGTGTCTTTCGTTATTGTCGATTTTTGGCCCCTAATATCCATATTAACAATAAATACAAGTATTTTTTACTGCTTTAATACACAAATAAGGGTTGGGATGCGTTTAAATACTTTCATCTGATATATGGCATAGAGTATTTTCCACTTATACTGTCGATATTTACTGCCGACCTCGATGGACAAGTGACAATACCCACGCGTTCGGAGAAATAGAATTATTACACATTCTCCAAAACATTTTATTTTTAAAACACGTAAGTGTCCATTGACTTCAAACTTAATTTTACACGTTTTACATTTATTTTCGATAATTTTTTAGACAAAGATTATATTGACGCTGTGCTAGAGGTTAAAGGTATTTGGGAATTCCCCAGAAAATTTCCCCGCCGAGGTTGTGTGGGAGTAGGTGTTTTGGGATGGGCTTTTAGAAGCGGATATTCAGCATGGAGACAAGGCACTGAGGTAATTTAAACCACGATCAAGCCAACTTCGGATCTAACGTTAGTAATACAAGTTAAAGGTGACTGCATGTCGCATAAAGATCTATATATAGATTGATATATGACGTCACTACTGAATGCTCCATGCACAGGTTGGGAGACGGCCATGTTTTTGCGCACTGAGACTGTGAACGTACACATTTCAGAAAGGTTTAACTTTTGAGGTGTACGTTATGTGAACATTTTCTTTATATATTTGGGAAGGGGTATATTTATTTTCAATGAATTAAATAACATACTTCTACCTGAAGCAAAGGAAATGATTGAATGCCCATGACGGATTGAAAAGGAATATGGGAGTGATACCAATACAGTATTACAGGCACTTTTTAATCTGAACTTTTGCACATACCGTCGATGTGGTCAGTGATTTTAACTGCAGCACAAGTGGTGTTACCGTTTAGATTTAAGTAAATGCACAGATCGAATTATTAAATTACTTGAGCGGCGCGGAATCATTTGGTAACACGTCACCAACAGAAATCACTATAGAGATACGTGTCAACCGACCTCAGGGAGATATATAGGGCTCTCGCCTAACATTGTGGATCGTGCAACGTAACTGACTATTAACAGTGTAGCGGGTTAATAGTCTGCGTAAATTTAAGATGTCATGAAATAGTTTTGCTTTTGCTGCCCATCAAGTTTAATTTGTGAGGATCAAATCCCAGAACCGGTCATTGAAAAATCCCCCATATACAACAAACTCATTTCAACTAAAATTGGTTTAAATATTTTTATGAATTTTTAATTTTGTGTAATGTATACATCTTTTCAAATTCGATGATTAATATAGCAAATTAAAACAGTCGAACATCGTGAAAAATCTCATTAAAACTCTCTTTCTCTATCCATCACAGATATATATTACACGCATGAAATTAAACTCACACACATTCTCTCCCATATCGCCATGAACATATATTAAGACACACAAACACCGACACACACAACTTCGTACATAAACGTATGCAACTGCATTTTTCGTAAACTTTACGCCCACTCGCATGCATATTATCACCTCCACTGCCAAATATACATACACAAAGTCACAAACATCCACTGTCGAACTTACAAACACGTACAACATTCATAAGCAGAAACAATAGCGAAACCCATAAGCATGAACGTGTATGTTAACACAGGCACAGGAATTCATAACCCCGTAGATGACAGACATAACGAAAATAAAATTTTGTTTATATGTGCATTGAATCAACATTGAACATATCATATTTATCCAAAAAGATCGTATTCACATTATCAGTATAAATATATGATGCATTTCACTCCTGTTGTATCCTGTCAACACAAGAGCGCAGTTTGACCTCGTAACCACACACACACACACACACGTACACACACACACACGCGCACGCGCAACTCACAACGGCCATCAAACTATCAGGTTAATATGCCAGGCGTTATATAGCAGGTATAGACAGAGTATTAGTGTTCATCTGTAAGGGTCACTCCCTTAGCAATACCAAACTTATATTCTACTTTCGTTTTGAACCTATACAAAATGGCGGACCTGTTACAATTTACAAATTGCACATTTGGCAATTAACATTGATCAGGTGAAAGGTATATTTAGGAAATATGTTATGCTGTTTTCTCTTGATGCTAAGACCGAGTTGAATTACATATCTTAAATGCTCACGTGGCGGCATTGTCTCAAGAAAGCGGATCAGTTTGAAGCAGATCCGGTTTAAGAGGTCGGATTGTTCAGGAAGTCGTTATGACCCGGATCTGGTTATGCATAAACAGTCACGAATACATGTAGAGTTATGTACACCAAGTTTTGTAGCTGTTTGATTTTGTGGCGAGTTTTTATGTTTTTTACTGTTTGCATGATAGCAGAGAGTGACAATTAGCTACTATAATGATATTGAAGCTACCGCAAATACAGCGGAGTTGATCCCGTAAATCAATTATGATTGTGGCGGGTATTATAAATGTACTGAAAGCATGCAGCATCGACTGTGACTGCCGCGGGTCTACATATTAGGTAGCAGTGGCACACTGATGTTGATGTTTGACTTGGGATGTTGTTGGTGTCGTGTTGGTGGGATGACTATGATGTTGTGGGAGTAGTAAATATTAATGGGTTCAGAAGTTGAGCAGATGTTAAGGTGGGTGTTGAGATTTGGTTAAATGTTCATGCTGATGTTAAAAAAGGGTGTTGAGATGGGGTTATGGAGCGATTGTGATGTTAAAGGTGGGTGTTGGGGTGACTTAGGGAGTGACTGTGATGTTAAAGGTGGGTGTTGAGATGGGGTTATGGAGCGATTGTGATGTTAAAGGTGGGTGTTGGGATGACTTAGGGAGCGACTGTGATGTTAAAGGTGGGTGTTGGGATGACTTAGGGAGCGATTGTGATGTTAAAGGTGGGTGTTGGGGTGACTTAGGGAGCGATTGTGATGTTAAAGGTGGGTGTTGGGATGACTTAGGGAGCGATTGTGATGTTAAAGGTGGGTGTTGGGGTGACATAGGGAGCGATTGTGATGTTAAAGGTGGGTGTTGGGATGACTTAGGGAGCGATTGTGATGTTAAAGGTGGGTGTTGGGATGACTTAGGGAGCGATTGTGATTTTAAAGGTGGGTGTTGGGGTGACATAGGGAGCGACTGTGATGTTAAAGATGGGTGTTGGGATGACTTAGGGAGTGATTGTGATGTTAAAGGTGGGTGTTGGGGTGACATAGGGAGCGACTGTGATGTTAAAGGTGGGTGTTGGGATGACTTAGGGAGCGATTGTGATGTTAAAGGTGGGTGTTGGGATGACTTAGGGAGCGATTGTGATGTTAAAGGTGGGTGTTGGGATGACTTAGAGAGCAATTGTGATGTTAAAGTTTGGTGTTGGGATGACTTAGGGAGTGATTGTGATGTTAAAGGTGGGTGTTGGGGTGACATAGGGAGCGACTGTGATGTTAAAGGTTGGTGTTGGGATGACTTAGGGAGCGATTGTGATGTTAAAGGTTGGTGTTGGGATGACTTAGGGAGCGATTGTGATGTTAAAGGTGGGTGTTGGGATGACTCAGGGAGCGGTTATGATGTTAAAGGTGGGTGTTGGGGTGACTTAGGGAGCGATTGTGATGTTAAAGGTGGGTGTTGGGATGACTTAGGGAGCGATTGTGATGTTAAAGGTGGGTGTTGGGATGACTTAGGGAGTGACTGGTGTTAAAGGTGGGTGTTGGGGTGACCTAGGGAGCGATTGTGATTTGAAAGGTGGGTGTTGGGGTGACTTAGGGAGTGATTGTGATGTTAAGGATGGGTGTTTGGATGACTTAGGGAGCGGTTGTGATGTTAAAGGTGGGTGTTGGGATGACCTAGGGAGCGATTGTGATGTTAAAGGTGGGCGTTGGGGTGACTTAGGGAGCGATTGTGATGTTAAAGGTGGGTGTTGGGATGACTTAGGGAGTGATTGTGATGTTAAAGGTGGGTGTTGGGGTGACTGTGATGTTAAATGTGGGCGTTTGGATGACTTAGAGAGCAATTGTGAAGTTAAAGGTGGGTGTTGGGGTGACTTAGGGAGTGATTGTGATGTTAAGGATGGGTGTTTGGATGACTTAGGGAGCGGTTGTGATGTTAAAGGTGGGTGTTGGGATGACCTAGGGAGCGATTGTGATGTTAAAGGTGGGCGTTGGGGTGACTTAGGGAGCGATTGTGATGTTAAAGGTGGGTGTTGGGATGACTTAGAGAGCGATTGTGATGTTAAAGGTGGGTGTTGGGATGACTTAGAGAGCAATTGTGAAGTTAAAGGTGGGTGTTGGGGTGACTTAGGGAGTGATTGTGATGTTAAGGATGGGTGTTTGGATGACTTAGGGAGCGGTTGTGATGTTAAAGGTGGGTGTTGGGATGACCTAGGGAGCGATTGTGATGTTAAAGGTGGGCGTTGGGGTGACTTAGGGAGCGATTGTGATGTTAAAGGTGGGTGTTGGGATGACTTAGGGAGTGATTGTGATGTTAAAGGTGGGTGTTGGGGTGACTGTGATGTTAAAGGTGGGCGTTTGGATGACTTAGAGAGCAATTGTGAAGTTAAAGGTGGGTGTTGGGATGACTTAGGGAGCGATTGTGATGTTAAAAGTAGGTGTCGGGAAACTAAGGAAGATAGTCTGATGGTAAAGGTGAGTGTCGTAATAAGTCAAAGCGGTGTTACACCAAACTCACACTAATATTAGAGTTAGCGTCGAGAGTTAATATAGATTGTATCTTTGTTGCGTTGAATTATATGTGGGGAATATTTAATGACAAGAAATATAAAAATCAACGTTGTTCATCTGGTATAAAACCGGCTTCATTGATAATAACTGGTTCATCATAACCCGGCACAGGGACAAGTCCGCGTTGTGCGTCAAGTATCAAATAGCCTTAGTTAAGCACCACGCCTATATCCGCCTATAAACGGAGCCTTGGTCGTAGCGGCGAAACGGTCATGGCACTTGTCGTGGCTTGCATTCTGAAACAAACCTGTGGAGGGATTAAGGAAGGTGTATCCACAGTGTTATGACACTCCTAGGTAGGCGACATACCCTTGTATGTAAAATCTTAATTTTGGAAAAAATAATAATTTTACATATGTGTACTTTTTCATATCGCGTCAATTATTTACATGCCGCCGTCATGTGTCTTGAATATGGAAGTCATCTGTGTTATGACAGTTATAGCACTACCACTGTTGCAAATCAATGCTAAAGTCATCTGTGTTATGACAGTTATAGCATTACCACTGTCGCAAGTCAATGCTCAAGTCATCTGTGGTTAGACAGTTATAGCACTACCACTGTCGCAAGTCAATGCTAAAGTCATCGGTGTTATGACAGTTATAGTGTTACCACTGTCGCAAGTCAATGCTAAAGTCATCGGTGTTATGACAGTTATAGTGTTACCACTGTCGCAAGTCAATGCTAAAGTCATCTGTGTTATGACAGTTATAGTGCTACCACTGTCGCAAGTCAATGC